CGCCCGATCGCCTCTCTGGTTCTGCTTCGGCAACAGGGCAACAGGGCGTGACCTGTTCAGGCCAAACACCTCGAATTCAACGGCGTTCAAAAGCTTGGCCAACTCGACTATCCCCTGCTCTGGGAACTTCTGAACGTCGGCCACTCGAAGAACATCAACCCCTGGGGCTTTCTTGGTGGGGGCCTTAGACCAAGCGGAGGAGAGGTGAAGGACCTCGATGGGGTTCAATGGGGCCCTCCCCAGTCCTGTGGGGCGCTCTTGATATGGCCTCTTGCAGAGCTTCAGGAGCATCTACAGGGTTGAACCACTTGTTGCTGGGCACGCTGCTTCTCAGCCGTGATCGCCGTGGGATCCGAAACTGCGTTACACGGCAGAATGGACTCCAGAGGGGCGGGCGACTCCTGCTTCGCATGGCGATGCAAACTGTTCAGCTTCCTTCTCCACTGCTCTCTCGCCCAACTATCAGAGGCGCGGCGTGAGACAGCTATCCCGCGAGCGTGCGCACAGGCGGCAAGCCTATCAGCAGCGCCAAATCGCTCCTGCAATCCTGATTCGCTGTACAGACTGGGGTTATACACGCGCGCAATCGTAGTGACTCCCAGCTCGCGGAGATCCCTGTCTAACAGCTCAATCTGCTTACGAAGCCTGAGCGCTGCAGCGAGGCGATTCTTTTCAAAAGCGCTGTTGAAGCAGCCCGCCCTTCGGCGGGCCCATTGGACAAATGCGCCCTGCCTGGCGCGGCCCTCGACTTCGTCCAAGTCAGAGAAAAAACCTTGGGCTCGCCCCTGATACGAGGCCCACCCAGCTCGTTCCACCCGCGACGCCGTCAAGATAGCCCTTTCTGCGCGGGCGACCCAACTAGCGCGCAGATCATTCGCGCGCCGCGTCGACGCAGGTCGCGCCATCTGCAGGAAATTGCGCGCATGCTGATCGCCGGAGAAGGCGGGCTGCCCTGCCAACTCGTTTGCCTGGGCCCACTGCTCAGGGGTCACCCTGTACGTGACTTCGCTAGCGCTGTGCTCGCTGTGCTCCGGAGGAAGGTGCGCCTGGTCGAAGGCCTCGCGCAACCTTTGGGCCGTCCGACCTCGGCGAGCCAGCCTGGCCTCCTCCCGGCGCAGCGGACTCTTGCTCGTCGGATCCGCCTGCTTCTTGGGCCTGTCGATTTGGGGCAGCTCCCTCGGGATCTGCAGCTTGCGGTACCAAATGGGCTGAAAAAGCTTGCTCGAAGGTGATCCCGATGCCGCGGCGGGTCCTCCACGGGACTGCCACCGCTGGCGCGAGCGTGACCCGCTCCTTCAGGCCCTCGCCGTCGATTCCGAAGTCCATCAGGGATCCTTGTCCTTCGTCGCACTTGGCAGCACAGGGAGAAACCATAACCACTCCTCGCAGAAACTCGTGGATGTTGGCCTTCACCAACTGCTCGGGCGAGTTGCTCCAATCTCCGATGATGGCAAGAGTCTCCTCGCGAAAGAGACCAGCGCCCTCGCTGTGCCGATATTGGGGCCCGTCTTCAAACCGAACTTGGAGCCAGGTATGGAGGAAATTCTCATCACCGCACTTCCCCCCTTGAGATGCCGAGCCATTGCAGTGAGGCTAAATAATGGATTCGCAGCGGCCGATCGATACCTAACATGATGCTCAAAGGACGATGTCGCAACGTGAGCCCTTGCCAGGATAGCTTCTCCCGCTGAGGTCCCCGCCACTGGTCGTCCACCTGTTCGCGCGGGCGTGGCAGCCATCTTCCGCCCATGCTTGCGCGCTGAGGCCTGCGCTTCGGCTGCGCGCTCCGCATCGAGGTTCGTTTCTACGAACAGGCAGATCATGAACTCCTGCTGGCTTGCTACAAACTTGTGGACCGTCGCGTCCCACCCGGCGACGTTGGCACGCGGGGCCGAGACTCGCCTCTGACCTCGCTTGCCCTTGATTTAGATCCAGTAACTCAGCCGCGTCGACGGGCTTGTTCGGGGGGCCACCTGCCCTCGCGCCGACTTCATCTCGAACGCCGGCGTGGCCACCTGCTCTCCGCTCTCGGCCCCTATTAGGGCGGCCGCCCGCCTCTCGCCTTCATGAGCGTCGCCAAGGTGCTGATATAGATCATCAGAGTAGCCTCGATCATGGCTCCATTCCCTTCATGCTGTGGCGACGTTGAACCCGCCGACGCCTCGAGGGGCACCGCGGTGGGATTTGTGTTCTGGTTCTTTGCTCTGGAGCGGTCGCGCGGTTGCCCCTGGCCCGGGGGCGGGGCCCTGGGGGGCTCGCAGAGCTGCCCCCCGCCCCGCCCAGACCAAAGCGCCGCTCCTGCAGTCGACTGTGGGCCCGCCCTCGTTGCCCCGCCAGCAACGGCGCGCTCTCCCATCCTCGCGCCGCGGCCCAGAGGCCCGCGGCGCTCGGAGGGCCCGCGGGCGCCGCAGCAGACGCGCCCAACTGCCTCTCGCCAGCGGCCCGTGGCGACGTTGAACCCGGCGTCGCCTCGAGGGGCACCGTGGTGGGATTTGCGGTC